CATTTGCAACCACATGGATGGAGCTGGAGGACATTATGCTCAGTGAAATAAGCCAGGCGGAGAAAGACAAATGCCAAATGATTTCCCTCATTCATAGAGTATAACAATGAAGCAAAATTGAAGGAACAAAATAGCAGCAGACTCGGAGACTCCAAGAATGAACTATTGGTTACCAAAGAGGAGGGGTGTGGGAGGGTGGGTGGAGAGGGAGGGAGAAGGGGATTGAGGGTTATTATGTTAAGTACACATGGTGTGGGGGATCACGGGGAGAACAGTGTAGCACAGAGAAGCCACATAGTGGATCTGTGGCATCTTAATACACTGATGGACAATGACTGCATTGGGGTATAGGTAGGGACTTGATAATATGGGTAAATGTAGTAACCACATTGTTTTTCATGTGAAACCTTCATAAGAGCGTATATCAAATCATACCTTAATAAAAATACTTAGAAAAAAAAAGGGGAAATGTATTCATAAGTGGTATGTTTGCTTTATGGCGCCAAATCATTTTCTTCCTTCTCAGGATATCAATTTCACTCCCTCTCCAATTTAGGAAGGGACTTACTCTCATCAGGAAGTACAGAATTGACTGTTTGGAACTTAAGCTCATTTTCTCACAGAGATCATATTAAATGTGGTAGGTTCTCTGCTTAGTTTATAAATTTAAATTACAATCAATGTACACAAAGATTGGTTCCAGTATAAAACATATAAATTTGAACTAAATTCTCATTCATAAAAATGTTGCTGTAGAAAACTATCTTTAGTGTTCCAATTTGAGAAGTTAGGCATGTGTCCTCCTCCTTTATTTCTCCCTTTTTCCAACCTCTCAACTCCTGGCTACTCTTTTCTACACCCTAGAGAGAAAGTCAGATATTCCTACTTTCTTCCCACTCACAAACCCCAGCACAGTGGTGGGCTAGGCCAAGTAGTAAAGGTAGTGCTAGCATGCAGTTATTTAAGATTTCAGTGTCACCAATACTGAAGAGAAGACAGGCAGAATCAAGAAGAGATGATTCAAATAGATGGAGTGTGTGTGTGTGTGTATATATATATGGAAAACTGTGGCACTATTCACACACATTCATACACGTTGTCTCTTATTAATTCTCTACTCCATCAATGTTAGGCTTGGACATTGAGGACACAATGTGTGCCACATCTAAATAGAAACTAAAATCACTTAGGTGATATGGCTTAGTCTCTTGTGCACCTGTCCCTAGCTTCAGATGGAGGCTGCTCGTTAGTCTTCCAAGGATGAGAAGCTAAGTGCAACAGAACCAAAGATGACCCTCTGCCTGTAAAAAAGTCACAGTCAACCTGTAGCCTCATGTAAAGTACGAGAAAAAGCCACTGAGCTTTAGGAGTTGTTTGTGTTGGCAAAAGCTGGTTAATACAGGAATGACTCTTTGTCCAATTTCTCCTACATATCACCTGTCTGACAACTATAGATCATATAGCTGCTCATCAACAGGTACTAGGGTGAAGTCAGAAATAGTGACTAAATCAAAACTACAAGGAAGTATCACCTCGCACCTATTAGAAAGAATATTATCAAAAAGACAAAAAATAACAAGTGTTGATGGAGAAAAGGGAACCCTTGTGCACTGTTGGTGGAAATGTACATTGGTGTGGCCACTATGGGAAACAGTATGAAGGCTCCTCAAAAAATTAAAGATAGAACTACCATTCGATTCAGCAATTCCACTTCTGAGTTTTTATCTGAAGGAAGTAAAAAAACTAACTTGAAAAGGTATCTGCATTCCCATGTTCACTGCAGCATTATTTATAATAGTCAAGATGTGGAAGTAACCTAAGTGTCCATCAATAGATAAATGGATAAAGGAAATGTGGTGTATACACATTAGAATATTATTAAGCCATAAAAAAGGAAACCTTGCGATTTACAACAGTATGGATGAACTGGAGGGCAGTACTATGTGAAGTAAGTCAAAGACAAATATCTGTATGATCTCACTTACATATGAAATCTAAATATCTACAACAAAAACCCAGCTCACAGGTACAGAGAACAGGCTTTGGGTGGGGGAGGGGTGGACAAAAAAATTGGTGAAGGTGGTCAAAAGGTACAAACTTCCAGTATGAAATAAGTCCTGGGGTATACACTCACATCAGTAGATGTTACCCTCATCTTCTGCCTGGATTTTTTTCAATAACCTTCTTATTGCTCTCCATTCCTTTTCCTCAATCTGGTCAGCACACAGTATTGAGACTAATCCTTTACAACTATAAACCAGATCACATAACTCCCTTGTGCTGGATCATGAAAAATCTTGTAGGTTATAGTACGGAATTCAGGTTTAATGGCAAAAACAGAGACTCTAATAAAATACAGAAACATAAATCTTAACAGGTACAGCCAGTTACCAGAGACAAATAACTTCCCTAAATCTTAGTGAGTCTTAAGGTAAATTATGTAGTACAAAATACTGCTTAGTATTCAAAATAACGGCATTATCTTTAAAAATTAAAGTATGTCTTAGTGTACTAAGTTTATAATAATGGTGAAGAACACAACCCATTTAAAAAATATTCCTCTTTTAAATTTGAAATGGATCAAAGATCTGAATGTAAGTCATGAAACCTTAAAACTCTTGGAAAAAAACATAGGCAAAAATCTCTTGGACATAAACATGAGCAACTTCTTCATGAACATATCTCCCTGGGCAAGGAAAACAAAAGCAAAAATGAACAAGTGGAACTATATCAAGCTGAAAAGCTTCTGTACAGAAAAGGACACCATCAATAGAACAAAAAGGTATCCTACAGTATGGGAGAATATATTCATAAATGACAGATCCGATAAAGGCTTGACATCCAAAATATAGAAAGAGCTCACGCACCTCAACAAACAAAAATAGAACAATCCAATTAAAAAATGGGCAGAGGAGCTGAAGACAGTTCTCCAAAGAAAAAATTCAGATGGCCAACACACATGAAAAGATGCTCCACATCGCTAGTCATCAGAGAAATGCAAATTAAAACCACAATGAGATATCACCTCACACCAGTAAGGATCGCCACCATCCAAAAGACAAACGACAACAAATGTTGGTGAGGTTGTGGAGAAAGGGGAACCCTCCTACACTGCTGGTGGGAATGTAAATTAGTTCAACCATTGTGGAAAGCAGTATGGAAGTTCCTCAAAAAGCTCAAAATAGAAATACCATTTGACCCAGGAATCCCACTTCTAGGAATTTACCCTAAGAATGAAAAAGCCCAATTTGAAAAAGACAGATGCACCCCTATGTTTATCTTTATCACAGCACTATTTACAATAGCCAAGAAATGGAAGCAACCTTAAGTGTCCATCAGTAGATGAATGGATAAAGAAGATGTGGTACATATACACAATGGACTATTATTCAGCCATAAGAAGAAAACAAATCCTACCATTTGCAACAACATGGATGGAGCCAGTAAGATAAGGCAGGCAGAGAAAGGCCAGTACCAAATGATTTCACTCATATGTGGAATATAAGAACAAAGGAAAAACAGAAGAAACAATACAGCAGCAGAATCACAGAACCCAAGAATGGACTAACAGTTACCAAAGGGAAAGGGACTGGGGAGGATGGGTGGGAAGGGAGGGACAAGGGCGGGGAAGAAGAAAGGGGGCCTTACAATTAGCATGTAGAATGTGTGTGGGGGCACAGGGAGGGCTGTGCAACACAGAGAAGACAAGTAGTGATTTTACAGCATCTTACTACGCTGATGGACAGTGACTAATGGGGTATGTGGGGGGGACTTGGTGAAGGGGGCAGTCTAGTAAACAATGTTCCTCATGTAATTGTAGATTAATGATAACAAAATAATAAAAAAAAATTCCTCTTTAAGATGACCAACAGTTTTGGGGGAAATCTGAGGGATACTCAGGATATTCAGAATATGTTCCACAATAGTCCTGGGTAGTCTCTATAGAGAGTATTGCTCTTATTTCAACCACAGGCAAACCAGCATGCACGTATACACTGCTTTCATAGAAAAGCCATTCCAAGTTTAATTCAGTTATTTTTTGTTAGTATCTCCAATGAGCAAGGAACTACATAAAAATTTAGAGGATACAGTTCCTGCTTGCAAGGAACTTAGAGTGTAGTGGAAGACTCAGATATGCTAATACTTAGGCATGTAAGGAATACTCCCCTTTACCAGCACTAGGGCAGAGATTACTTTCTACCCTGAGCCAGGATTGGGATGTTTATGGGCTAGACTATAGTAACAGCTTATAGGAAGAAGTAGATGCCCTGAGCACAATAACTTACTAATTTCTAATAATTGCAAAAGACAACATACTTTTTTTTCTCAGTCATGATACTCACCTTAACTGAACAAAGAATGGCATGACTAAGTGCCCAAATAATGGGCACTGGAAATAACTCTACTGATGCCTGTTTTCCTCCTAGGTGATCTGTAAATCAGATGTATGTAAATTGGGGGCTATGTGTTTTATGTTATGGGTGGTCTCATGTACTTTCTACATGTTAAAAATAAGCATGGTAAAATTGTAAGTGTAATACAGAAAAGGAAAGAGTTTGAAGTAACTTTTGCCTTTTTATCTTTAAAATACAGAGTTCTTTAACTCTTCTACCCAGTGCCTCACTGTAACAGAAATGTAACAGATACATTTTAATATTGGGAAGGTATGGATCAGAATCACCCTTCAAAAAAATCAGTACAATTATAAATAAAATATACTACCCCTTTCACATTGTATACAGAAACAGGGAAAGGGAAAACTAATAAATAAAATCATATGCAGGTACAAATTGAATAGGAGAAAATTGGCACTAAATTAAACATTTAAAATCCTGTTTCATATCTAGAAAATAGTGTTAAGGTTGAATCAATGAATTAACAAATTCAGATGATCCAGATCCTAAACATATATGAAAATTAGCAACAAGTCTAAAAATTTTTAAGTAGGCAAATGATATTATCAAAAAATATATACATATGAAATTAGCATTCAGACTTACCGTAATAGGAGTTCTTTGGGAAGTTTTTTATTGATTACAGCCTCATCACTATTTGAAAACATCTGCAAAAACAAAATCATTGTGTCAAGTGTTAAGTACTTAACATTTTATTATGTTTAACTCAACAGTTTAGAGATAATCCTCTTAGGGGAGAGGAGAATAAGTATAGTGGGTTATTATTATAAGTCAAAACCATATCTTCAGAGACTCTTTAGGTTGAAACTGTTTTGAGATGTTTAAATTTGTTCCCTGTCTTTAAAAAAATGAGCAGCAATCAAAACAATATTATGTGATAGGAACTGTTTTAAATGTTTCTCACATATTAATATATTGAATCTTCATCCTATTCCTAATCTTCATTTTATATATAAGGAAACTGAGTTACAAAAGTTTACTTACTTAATCACTACAGTGACCATTTAAAAATGCCATTAACTAAGGTGATTCTCCAAATCTAACAGATTTACTTGTTCAAGAAGGAACTCAGGAACCTGTGATAGGGAGAATTCTCTTCCAAATTTTACATGTCATACAGAAAACCATTAATGCTTCGTAACTATCCATATGCATTCTTTTACTTTTTAAAAATTTTGTTATCATTAATATACAATTACATGAGCAACACTGTGGTCACTAGATTTCCCCCCCATTATCAAGTCCCCACCACATACCCCATACCCCATTACAGTCACTGTCCATCAGCTGTCCATCCATAGAATAGTAAGATGCTATGGAGTCACTACTTGTCTTCTCTGTTGCTATACTGCCTTCCCCATGCCCCACCCACCTACATTATCTGTGCTAATTGTAATGCCCCTTATTTCCCTTTTTCCTCCCTTCCCACCCATCCTCCCCAGTCCCTATCCCTTTGGTAACTGTTAGTCCATTCTTGGGTCCCGTGAGTCTGCTGCTGTTTTGTTCTTCAATTTTTTCTTTGTTCTTATACTCCACAGATGAGTGAAATCATTTGAAAGTTGTCTTTCTCCTCCTGGCTTATTTTACTGAGCATAATATCCTCTAGCTCCATCCATGTTATTACAAATGGTAGGATTCGTTTTCTTATGGCCGAATAATATCCCATTATGTATATGTACCACATCTTTCTCCATTCATCTACTGATGGACACTTAGAGGTTGCTTCAGTATCTTGGCTATTGTAAATAGTGCTGCGATCAACATAGGGGTGCACGTGTCTTTTTGAAAATGGGTTCCTGCATTCTTCGGGTAAATTCGTAGGAGTGGAATTCCTGGGTCAAATGGTATTTCTATTTTTAGTTTTTTGAGGAACCTCCATACTGCTTTCCACAATGGTTGAATTACTTTACATTCCCACCAGCAGTGTAGGAGGGTTCCCCTTTCTCAACATTCTCGCCAATATTTGTTGTTGTTTGTCTTTTGGATGTTGGCCATTCTAACTGGTATGAGGTGATTATCTCATTGTGGTTTTAATTGCATTTCTCTGATGATTAGTGATGTGGAGTAACTTTTCATGTGCCTGTTGGCCATATGAATTTCTTCTTTGGAGAATTGTCTGTTCATATCCTCCACCCATTTTTTAATAGGGTTATTTGCTTTTTTGGTGTTGAGGTGTGAGTTCTTTATATATTTTGGATGGTAACCCCTTGTCGGATATGTCATTTACAAATATATTCTCCCATACTGTAGGATGCCTTTTTGTTCTGCTAACACTGTCCTTTGCTGTACAGAGTTTTTCATTTTGATGTAGTCCCATTTGTTCATTTTTTATTTTGTTTCCTTTGCCCGAGAAGATGTGTTCAGGAACAAGTTGATCATGTTTTCTTCTAAGAGTTTTATGGTTTCATGACTTACATTCAGGTCTTTGATCCATTTTGAGTTTACTTTTGTGTATGGGGTTAGACAATGATCCAGTTTCTTTCTATTACATGTAGCTGTCCAGTTTTGCCAACACCAGCTGTTGAAGAGGCTGCTATTACCCCATTGTATATCCGTGGCTCCCTTATCATATATTAATTGACCATATATGCTTGGGTTAATATCTGTTTTGCTATTTTGGTCTATGGGTCCATTCTTGTGCCAGTACCGAACTGTCTTGATTATTGTGGCTTTGTAGTAGAGCTTGAGGTTGGGAAGCAAGATTCCCCCCTGCTTTATTCTTCCTTCTCAGGATTGCTTTGGCTATTCAGGGTCTTTTGTGGTTCCATACGAATTTTAGAACTATTTGTTCCAGTTCGTTGAAGAATGCTGTTGGTATTTTGATAGGGATTGCATTGAATCTGCATATTGTTTTAGGCAGGATGGCCATTTTGAAAACATTAATTCTTCCTACCCAAGATCACAGGATGAATTTCCATTTATTAGTGGCTTCTTTAATTTCTCTTAAGAGTGTCTTGTTGTTTTCAGAGTATAGGTCTTTCACTTCCTTGGTTTGGTTTATACCTAGGTATTTTATTCTTTTTGATGCTATTGTGAATGGAATTGTTTTCCTGATTTCTCTTTCTGCTATTTCATCGTTAGTGTATAGGAATGCAACAGACTTCTGTGTATTAATTTTGTATCCTGCAACTTTGCTGAATTCAGACATTAGTTCTAGTAGTTTTGGAATGTATTCTTTAGGATTTTTATGTATAATATTATGTCATCTGCAAACAGAGATAGTTTGACTTCTTCCTTACCAATCTGGATGCCTTTCATTCTTTGTGTTGTCTGATTGCTGTGGCTAGGACCTCCAGTACTATGTTGAATAAAAGCGGGGAGAGTGGGCATCCTTGTCTTGCTCTTCATATTAAGGGGGAAAGCTTTCAGCTTCTTGCTGTTAAGTATGATACTGGCTGTGGGTTTGTCATATATGGCCTTTATTATGTTGAGGTACTTGCCCTCTATTACCCATTTGTTCAGTTTTTATCATGAACGGATGTTCAATTTTTTCAAATGCTTTTTCAGCATCTATGGAGATGATCATGTGGTTTTTGTCCTTCTTTTTGTTGATGTGGATGATGTTGATGGACTTTCGAATGTTGTACCACTTGCATTCCTGGGATGAATCCCACTTGATCATGGTGTATGATCCTCTTGATGTATTTCTGAATTCGGTTTGCTAATATTTTGTTGAGAATTTTTATATCTATGTTCATCAGGGATATTGGCACACGTGCATTCTTGATGCCCACAAGTGGTCATTTAACAAATTAATCAAATAATTCAGAATTGATGCTTTTAAACAAAGCCACTGCTTCTTCCACAAAGGAAATCATGACTATAATAATCTTGTCTAACAAGCTACCTAAAAACCCAGATACCTACCCAAGAATGGACTAACAGTTACCAAAGGGAAAGGGACTGGGAGGATGGGTGGGAAGGGAAGGATAAGGGGAAAAAGGGGCATTACAATTAAAACACATAATGTGGGTGGGGAGCACGGGGAAGGCAGTATAGCACAGAGAAGACAAGTAGTGATTCTAAAGCATCTTACTATGCTGATGGACAGTGACTGTAATGGGTATGTGGTGCGGACTTGATAATGGGAGGAATCTAATAACGACAATGTTGCTCCTGTAATTATATATTAATGATACAAAAGAAACCTTAGATACTATATCCAGTAAAAATCACAGTTAAAATGGCAAATACACGTCATTGAAGCTGAAATATACTCTGGACTGGTAAAAAGGAGATAAGGAAAGAATATATTGAAATTATAGTTCAAATAAAAGATGATGCAAGTTTTTACATGATTATAGGGGTGGTGGAAATGAAAATAAGAAACTGGAGAAAATGATTTTTAAAGAAGTAAAAGGACATGGTTATGGAAAGCTGGACCATCTACCAAATTTCAGTGCAGCAAACAGACTACCTGATAATAAAATTAATGCTATTGCCTGGCAATTATGTCTCAGGAAATGATCTGACATCAAAGAATAATCTGCTTTCCTTCAATTTCTATCCATTAGTGGAGGTCATTTTAAAAAATCATATCCTCCTCCTATAAGTCAGTCTTTCAAAATGAAGCCATCATATTTCCTTCTAAACAAGCTTAAATTCTCAAGTGAGATGGTTTCTAAGATGCTACATACACCATTATGATCATTCTTCTCTGGGTACACTTATAGGAAAGAATGCATGAAGGACTTACATATTTAAAAAGCTGAATACATGTGTTTATGCCATAAATAAAAACTGTCTTACAAAAATAGCACACAACACATATCTTAAGCTTGAGATATTCGGAAAAAAAGAAAGTCAAAATAGCATTACTCAACATCCTATCCTATCTACTAGACTATACCCAACCCAAATTCACAAAAAGTAGAGGATAATCATTTTTATATTAGAAATGCTAAGTTCTTTATCTTGAATACTCAAAAGTATTTTTCTTAAATGGTACATATCTCACCTAATATGGCACTTTGCTCAACTGAACATACATGGTAATTAAATTAATAAAAAAAGATATAAAAAGGAACAAAAATCACACCCAAAAGCTAATTTCTTTCCTTAGTCTACATAGACTGAATGCTATTGTCTCTGTGGGAACATAAAGGTATGTGAAGGGAAAAAGGAAGAGGCCGGGTCTTGGGGAGGATTTGGGAGATACCAGTTGTACGGGACATATGTCCAGATTTATATCCACCGCACTTGCCCTGCCCTCATCCTTCTGTACATAGGTATCCTACTCCAAGTTTGCAAGAAAGGATAAATCAGTGGTTCACAAACTGTGGTCCCTTGACCAGCAGTATTAGCATCAACTGGGACCTTGTTAGAAATACAAATTATTGGGCCGTAGCCCAGACCTATATAATCAGAAACTAGGAGTAGGAGTTGGGAGGAGATAGAGGGAAAGAAAGGCAATCTGCAGTTTAACAAGCCATCCGAATGATACTGATGGTTCCTAAAGTTTAAGAACCAATGGACCAGATAAATGAGATTGAGGATCTCAGGACGTAAGAAATTACAGTTTGAACAATCCGAATATATTTTATTATTTGAAGTGACACAGCAATGGAGTTTAAAAAATAGTCCTAGAGGTAGACACACAATAATTTTATATGCTTCCTAAGAAACCCAAATGCTTTCTGTTCCAGTT